TTGAAGCAGTTCTTCCCCAAAGGTTGTATTAGTTTGACTGATCCGTGCGATGGCTTTCGAGTTATCTACGTCACATGCCATCTATTCTTCACACTGTGTGAGTACTAGCTTTAACACATGAGATTGTGCGAGACAGTGGCCCTCATGCATAAAATGTGAGCTAAAGCTCAAACTCAGTTTTTGTACTGATGGAGTGGGCTCAAGCTCAAGAATTCGTACTGAAAATCGAGTTGGATCTTAATCTCACTTTTTATGCATGAGGCCCAGTGTCTACTAAATACCTCAACTAGTGTCTTGTAATCCATCCTTGGAAGTTTTAGATTATAGTTGCTGATTTTGGCACTTTCAAAGTCATTGCCATATTCTAATTGAGGCAGGGATAGATGCCCGGTGTGCTGGGCAGTGGTAAGTTTATTCCTGTTTTTGACAGTATATCCGCCCGCTTATTAACTTTCATTTCTTTGTGTCCCAGTAAATAGCTAAGTACTCGTCTCACTCAAAGTTCGTCTATCTTACTCCTGCATTGCCGAACACAAAGCGAGCTTGTCATTATAGAATTAAGGCCTTAATGGCTGCGAGACTGTCGCTGAAAACACTCACACCTGATTTATGTGGAGTTAGAGCCTCTGTCGTCCCAGGTGATTTAGTTGCACTATAAATCTCGGCCTATAAACTGCAAAATTCCAGAAGTTTATATGGCTTTTCAATAGGGTGTTCCAAAAGAGCATGTGAAAGAGTAAAAGTGGAATTTTAATGCTCTGATCCCTGGGATTGTACTCGCCCCTATTACGAGTGTCGACTAGTAGATAAACGACTATTAATCAGGGACCACAACGAATATAAGAAATAAAATTAAATAATTGGGGGACTCACAACGGCGTCGTAAGTTTCGTATTGTTGTATGTCGTAAACTTTAAAAGCATAAATAAATGTTTAGAGAACTTGAAACCACAGCCAACTATTTTTTAACACTGCGAAAATTCAAAATATGACTTTGATGGTACTTTGGGAACCCCCTTAATATATTTTTTAGGCGTTTATAGTTTACGACATACAACAATACGACACTTACGTTGTGAATACCCCGATTGTGTATAATTATTATTGAACAATGGAAAAGTTGTTTTCGTCTCCTGAGACGAAAATCGTTAGACTAAAAACTTTTTCATCTTCTTTTAATAATTATCTGTGACTTTTATTTTTTCTCGTCTCGCGGGAAATTCTTTCGTCTTCTCATAATAATTATCGGGGACTTTTATTTCTTTCGTCTCGTGGGACGTTTATTTCAAGACGAAAATTATTTATGTATTCTCTTAATAATTATATGGGACTTGTTATTGAAATGAAACTTCTTAAGTGAGTTCGCAGATTTAACGCGTTAAGTATTTAACGCCACGATTGTTCATGTGATCAAATCTGTATCGTTCGTTCGATTATCGAAAATGAGGTATCAAATTAATGGGCTTTGCTTTTACGTGGTTTTAGTTTTGTGAAAAGGGTTGCCCGATGTTAGCAAATCAAATTCCAATAATCGAACTCGGAGATATTTGCGTTTAATTTCGTGAAATCGGCAGTACATGTACCGATTCTATTAAGAGAAAACGTGGGATGTAAATCATTTCCGTCTTAAAATAAACGTCCCACGAGACGAAAAAAGATATTTCTCGTAAATAATTATTATACTAAGACGAAAAGAAATTCTCTTAAAACAAGGCGACGTTTTGGACCCAAATATTGGGATAATAATTATTTTGGGTCTCTGCTCTTAATCGATTATCGATTATCCATGATATTTTCAATGTCGTTTCCTCGTTCAATAAGTGAGTGTGAATAGTTTTTATTCGCACATCCTTCTACAAGCAAACAGTTGTAAACTAATAAATAACAACACAAACAATAATAAATAATAATAATAATAATAACAATAACAAAATTTCAAACAACTATCTGTAGCATGTGAAAAGTTTGTGTTCGACCGATCACAGGATGGCATTGTCCAGAAATTTTTGTAGAGAATGAGTTCAGCCCAATAAAAAATTTCCAAACAATGCCACTATGTAACTGGTCGTCTTCACGTGCTGGAAAATCTCGCTTGCGTGTTTCTCTTCGGTTCTTGCAATCGGGTGCGTGTGTATGGCCGAGTTCTTAGATTTTTGTAATTTATTTTGTGATTTCGTAGAGTGAACATGAGCGGTAAAATAGCAAGATTAAGTAAACATTTACATATGTATTAAGGAACTAATAGACAGGTTAAATAGAGTTTGATATATAATTGAACATGTATTTTATAGAGTTGTTGTCCTTTTTGCACACATGTTTACTTGCCGACGAACAACGTAAAACGAAAATCGCCAACCGATAAACTAGTATGTAGCGAAACGAGTTGCAACCGATTGCTGTGTTCTGTTGCCTGTCTGTGGCTCTTTTCACTGTATTAAGCAGTCCAAAATGTCACCATTGAAATGACAATAAACCAACTAGATATTAAGAGTGTCTGTTGACGGCGGAGAAAAGAAAAGAATTCGACTTTTTCAGTAGTCTAACTATTTATTTAGTTCTGTTAAATTCAGTTTCTTTTTTACAAAATAATTAAGTTAGCGCGAGCAGCTTTAAAAAATGTTGTCTTCTTCGTATCTTGCTCTTCTCCGGTGTGTATTCACAGTCATTTTTCAGGGATGCATTAGGAGAGAAAAATTCTAATATTTCAATGTGGTGAATTTGGTGAAATTGGAGATTTGACGGCAACATTCCCCACCCCGTAAATAACCTCAGGGTTGTTTAACATCATCCAAGCCGACATCCAATGTAGCTACCTTCGTCGCCGGCCTCTCCCTCACTCCAAGTTGGGTCTTAATTGTTACTCGCCTCACCTGACCGTCTTTCGCAGTTACTGTGCCGATTACTCTTCCTTTTGGCCACATGTTTCTCGGGAGATTTTCGTCTACGACGATGACGATGCTGCCGACAGTTATTGGTGAAGATTTATAGAACCATTTGACTCGTTTGGTGAGCACCGGTGTGTACTCTTTTACCCAACGCTGCCAGTAACGCTCTCCGAAAAGTTGTACTGGATGCCAACGCTGCCTAAGATCCATTCCGTCGTTGCAGGGAGGTTTGTAGCCATCCGCCGATCCTATTAGCAAGTGATTTGGAGTCAGCGCGATGTCATCCGACGACTCGAGGCTTACGAAAGTGAGTGGTCGCGAATTAATAGTGAACTCTGCCTTCATTAACGAGCTTCGCAGACTTTCGTCGTTGAAGGAATAATTCGGGCATATGCTCCGCAAGACAGTTTTCGTCGTTCGAACGAGACTTTCCCATGCGCCTCCCATATGGGGGGCACCCGGCAGGTTAAAGTGCCATTTGATGCGATCGTATTTGACGGTTATCTTGCCGAAGTCAATTTCGATGAGCTTCTCCCGCACACGCTTTTCGGTGGCCTTGAAATTGGTCCCGTTGTCGGAATAGATTTCTGATGGAGTACCACGCCTTGCCATGAAGTTGCGAAGACACATGATGCATGAGCGGGTGTCGAGACTATACGCGAATTCAAAGTGTACAGCTCGAAGAGTCAAACAAGTAAAGAGTGCGACCCACCTCTTTTCTTTGTGCCTACCGACGTTTACAAGCATTGGCCCGAAGTAGTCTACACCTGTAAATGAAAATGGTTTCGTGTAGCTGGCCAGTCTCGCAGCAGGTATCGGTGCCATCTGGGGAGGTTCGGGTTTCGCATAGTCGATGTTGCATCTTTGGCAGGCATTTCGTACCGACTTATATAGTATGCGTAAACGTGGAATATAGTATGAACTTTTGACATTATTAATGACGGTATCATGTGATAGATGGTGGTTATTTTCATGATAAGCTCTCACTATCAAAAGCGTCGTGTGGTCTTCCCTCGGCATAACAATGGCATCCATTCGGCAGTTAATGGAAGCAGCTCTCCCTTGTATCCGCAATATCCCATTGCTATCCAGGTAGACGTTTAGCCCGGATAATTTGCTTTGCTTTCGGAGTGGTTGCCCTGAATGTAATGTGTTAATCTCAGAATAGAATGCCCTTACCTGCGCTTGTTTGTATAGCAGATTCTCGGCCTTGCCAATCATCTCTGGTGTAACTTCGCTTGGTTTATTGTAGCCTAGTCGCTTGGCTTTTAACCGAGAAACGTACAAATAAAACGTCGCCGTCGCCCTATAGAGCCGACGCCAATTAGAGAAGTACTCTACATTTACCTTGATTGCCGGATTTTTCTGCGTTACATGCACATGTTTTCGAACTTCGGTAATATCCAAGTCGTTAAATGGTTCAATAGGATCTGGCCACATACTACTTGGCGTGAACAGGAATTCGGGTCCCTGCAACCACTGCTTGCTTTCCACCGCACTATTTACTTTAGTCGCTACGTCAGCTACATTCAATTTAGTTGGGATCCATCGCCACTGAGTATTGTCGGAATTCTCAAGGATCTCCCCGACGCGATGCATCACAAACTGTTGAAGATTACGAGGATCCATTTTCAACCATTGCAAAACGGTTTTGGAGTCTGACCAGTAAGTGGCATGTTGAATTTTTAGTCTGCTCACCTTCATCACCCGCTGAGCCAAACGCAAGCCTATTACAGCGGCTTGTAGTTCCATGCGCGGAATAGAAATCGGCTTCAATGGAGCGACTTTACTTTTAGCTGCCACTAACGGCACGTCGACCGCGCCACATCGAAGCACCCGCAAATAGCACACTGCTGCATACGCATATTCGCTAGCATCGACGAATGTGTGAATCTCCACGTCAGTTGCCGCAGTCAAGTTACGTGAGTAGCATCTCGAAATTTCAACTGCTTGCATTAACGGCAACAGCCGCTTCCATTGTCTCCAGTCGCCGCAAAGGGCCTCTGGCAGCTCTTCGTCCCACCCAATGTTGACTCGCCAGACTCGTTGTAAAAGTATTTTGAGGCCGACCGTGTAGCATGCCAACAACCCCAGTGGGTCGAAAATCGACATCAGCACTTGCAAAACCTCTCGCTTGGTTGGCTTGAGATCTTCTACTAACACTGGTCGTCTTAGCCGAGTGAACCTGAAGACATACTTAAAAACGTCGGTGTGTGGTTCCCAGTACATACCTAGTACTTTCTCCGTGTGCCCAAACTGGACTGGAGTTTGCGCTTTTACCTCTTCGTCTACTAGCTTTGTAAGTACGTTTGGGGAATTCGACGCCCAATTACGTATTTCGAAACCGCCGGCTCGATGAACCTTTCGAACAAGGTCTGCTACTTCGAAGGCAGCTTCCTCGCTGTCTACGCTATCGATATAGTCGTCAACGTAGTGCGCCTTTTGGATAGCTTCGAATGCTTGTGGATGCTGCTGTTGATGTTCTTCTGCATTTTTGTTTCGAACGTAGTGCGCGATACATGGACCGCAGCTTATGCCAAAGGTCATGGCGCACATGACGTAGACTTTAGTCTGACCTCTAACTTTATCGTAAGATAGGAATCGCTGAGCGTGCATATCCTCCTTTCGTATGCTTATCCTATGAAACATCTCAGCGATGTCGCCGCACACCGCTACCTGACCAACTCTGAACGCCAAAAGTATTTCGATAAGTGGGTTAAGCAAGTCCGGCCCAGTGAGTAGAAAGTCGTTGAGTGATTTACCATGCGCTTTAGCGGCGGCGACCCAAACAAGCCTTATTTTATTAGGTTTGTTGGGATTTAGTGCCAAAAAATCGGCAAATACCAGGTACATTTATTTTCGATCGCCATCTCGGTTTCCGACAGCTGAATTGCATACCCTTTTCGTAATAGGTTACTGATTTGATCATCTATTTTTTCGTACAAAGTAGAATCGCGTTTAATTTTATTTTTCAAGCAGTTGAGTCGCCTGAACGCATTCGTGTAGCTCTCGGGTAGCGCGTTTTCATCGCTGCGCCACAAAAGACCCACTTCAAAACGTCCGCCTACTTTTACGCAGGTCTGGTCAAGGATATCGATCGCCCTTTTGTCCTCAGTCGACTGTAAGTTTTGCGACTTTACTGCGTCTAGATTAAAGTTGTCCTTCACGATGTCGTGAAGCTCTTGCCACTTGCAAGTACTGTGATGCATTGTTATATGTGTCGTCGCATCCGAGGTGCCCTGTATACTCCATCCCAACAAACACTTGGACGCAATTGGTTCGCGTCGCCTACCTTCTCTTATCTTTCGAGGTACAGCGATTTTCCAATTGTCCGCTCCGATAAGTAACGTTGGTTGAATATCGGTATATGAGGGCAGTGGTATGTCTCTCAAATAAGGATATCTGTTACGGAGTTCGTCTGCGTTTATCGACTGCTTAGGCAGCGCGAGGTTTGTATCGTATGAACGTTGTTAAGCCGATATAACTTTCCGCTATTTGGTGCTGAAATTTGAATTGACGCCTGTACTGACGTACTCTCGTTACGCGTAGTTTCACTAGTCCATTGCAAACATAGCGGCGATGACACACCCTTGATACCCAGTTGTTGGAACGCTGACTCGTCTATGAGTGTGACAGAGGATCCTTCGTCCAAGAACGCGTATTCTTGAGCTGTTGCGCCTCCCGCGTGGAGATTCACCGGTATGACACGCGTTATCACTGCGATGCGTACTTACTACCGCTTGATCATTTTCCATCTTCATCGGACTTTCAACGCATTCGCTGTAGAGTAGTGGGTGATGTATTTGCGAACAACCGTTCACGCCGCACGCCTTGCGATGGGTTTTGAGGCACCTATAGCAAGCTTTGTCTTTTTTCACCATATTCCACCTCTGGCTGCTGGACAGGTTCTGGAACTTTTCGCATCGCGCTGCACTATGGTCGGTCCCTCCGCATGCGATTCATTTCATTGTAGACTGTCGCGGCTGCGCCTGGGACAGGTTATCTGATTTAAAAACCTCCCACCCCTTCTCGATCGATTTCGGTACTTCGCCCTTGCTGTGCGCGTTGACAGAACTCGTCTTGTACATGACTGCCGGTGATACTACCGTTGATGCTGCTTCAGCTAACCGATATAGCCAGTCGCTAAATACTTTAATAGATGGAGAACGGTCTTCACAGGGATGCATCGCCCAGCTGAGCTTATGCTGATTGGGCAACTTGTCAACTAACTCCTTCACCAACATCGGGTTGTTCAGGTGTACTTAAAGCTTACACGTCTCCATCGTTGCAGATATGTTGCGTACAGCCAGCGCGAATTCTATAATAGATTCTAATTTATCCTTGGGCGGTGGAAGTTTTCTTACCTTGTCGATCATTCTATCTACGATATGCTCTGGTCTACCGAAGAACATTTTTAAAGTGCTGATGACATCAGGGACCATCGTGGGCAAGAGCAGCTTATCCTTCACCAATTCGCGCGCCTTACCCTTAAGGCACCGCTGTAGCCGTAGCATATTTTCGACATGCGAAAATCCCGCCACCGCAGTGCTGTGATCGAACGTGCTGATGAACATTGGCCACTCTTCGGGGTCACCGCTGAACGTAGGCAACTCCTTTGGTATTGCTTGTCTAGCCGCTATTTGTGAACTCGTCGGGGCAGTGCTCGCTGCTACTTGCAGAGTTGGCAGGATATCTGACGTCGGAGTGCCTGAAGAGTTCATCTGCACGAGAAGCTGGTACTTCTGCTCGATAAAGCGTTCTTCTGCTCGATAAAGCGTTCTTCTGCTGCTCTCTTTTCTTCGAGCATGGCCATCATAAGCTGTTGTCGATAACTACCTTCGCTGGAACCAGTTTGCGTTGTGGTGATTTCATTTATTTTTTGTGCGTCTGCGTTCCCCTGAAGATCGGTGTGATTCGACTGAGTAACCGATTGAGTGGTACCAATTGCTGAGCTAGCCGATTCCATCACTCTCTGTTCAGGTGTGGAGGCCGTTGATGTAGTTGATTGCTGCATTGTATGTTCGCGAGTGTGTAGTGCCCCTACACTAGAAGCCTCTTTCATACAGGAAGCACAACTCCAGTTATAATATTGCACGCTCTCGTCAACGCCAACACACTCGAAATGGAACCACAGTTCGCAATCGTCTCACTGCACCCAATCTTCGACTCTTTCTTTGTCCGACTTTTTTCCGCAGATATTGCAAACGCACATGCCTTGTGACAAAACTACGAGGTGTGTAATATTTGCCCAAGTGCTTGTATAAATATGTGCCGTGTGCGTGGAAATTTGCCAGTGCACCAGAAATTTGGTTCTCTCTGAACTGATGCTTTAGATTTAACTCGATATTTATCCTTGTGAACGCTATCGCCACCGTTTTCTTTACGTGCAACGGGATAACACGTGCACTCTGCAGACGGTGATCGCGATTCCAAGTGATATTTACCGAGACGCCAGAAATTTTTTTAAAGATTTGTTGACGGCGGAGAAAAGAAAAGAATTCGACTTTTTCAGCAGTCTAACTATTTATTTAATTCGGTTAAATTCAGTTTCTTTTTTACAAAATAATTAAGTGAGCGCGAGCAGCTTTAAAAAATTTCGTCTTCTTCGTATCTTGCTCTTCTCCGGTGTGTGTTCATAGTCATTTTTCAGGGATGCATTAGGAGAGAAAAATTCTAATATTTCAATGTAGTGAATTTGGTGAAATTGGAGATTTGACGGCAACAGTGTCCTCATATCCAAAACTATTAAAAGTTTTAGAAAACTTTCACCGGAGTTCTCTTACCCCAAAAAACTTGCAAAGTAGGGAAATTGAGAGAGCAAAACGTGATAGAGAGCTGCAAATTTGTGCTGGAAAAATTTTTACTAGCGAAAACTTGCAATTAAGAAAATCAGCTGATCACAAACATATGTTTGTAAATAAACGAAAGAAAATACGGTCTCTTTCAATTATTTATTGCAAATTTTATTAGTAGTGCAGTATAGGTACACTGAAAAAGAGAGTAAAGTTATTAAGCACAAAATTGGTTGAGTTTATTTTTAGTTAATTTACTATTAATCTCCAATTTGTTTACTTAAGTGTGTGCTGACTATGGTTGCCATATAATTTTCCTTTAAATATACCAAAATAGATTAAAATGTAGCATGCTGAGATGTGTTTTTTGCTGAAGTTGTCAGCTTTGGTAGGTTGATTGTTGAAATAAAAATTTTATAATTTTAAAGCTACAATTGTAGCTATATCTATTACATTTTTTTGGATCAATGATGGGTGTTTGGAGGATATTCTCATATTTTTAAATGCGTCAAATAACTTATTCATTCCGATATAATTAAAAAGTACTTTAACGGTTTTTCTTAACCAAAACTATTCAATTGCATAAAATACCGAATCGGGGAAAATGTACCAAGCAGAAAATAAATTGCCAAATGAACCACCAGTGGCAACTGTGGAAGTGATCAGCTGTTGCGAAGGTGGCAAGTTTTTGCAAAATTTGCGTTCTCGTACTTCTGTGGATATTTTGTCTCTTTGAGAGCGAATGCTGCTAAATTGTCAGAACTTTTGCTGCTGGATAATTTTGTCCGCTCAATACGAGTACACACCTATTACCAGAGTTATCTGAATATATCGTCATCTATTGGCAAAATCTGTATGAACTATTTCGGCTACTCAATACTAGTTATTATTGAAATAATGCGTATGTACATAAATAAGTATATGAACTACATAAATCCCATTGATAGAGGCATTCTTCGTTTCACCTAAGCCTTCTGCGTAGTACAAATATTTATAACAGGAATTTCCTTTGTCGCAGACACACAACACAAGTTAAGTATGTATTCAATTGTTAGTTTAATTTTTGAAAAACTCACATTTGTGTATAAATAAATCTTTTAGGCGTTATTGGGTTTTTATTTTTTAGTTTATTGATTTGCGTAATTGTCCTTTTGTTTGTGTTGACAGTGGCGGCGATGATGACGACGAAGTACGTACAATAACATATAAATACATTTATGCATAGCGCCGAGCAGACAACAAAGGTCAGAACAGGTCCCAATGAAAGGGCGTCGTCCTTGTTGTGATGCATAAAGTATACGGGTTTACTTAGTACCGATTACAGAAATTTTGTGAGCGGTTAAATAATTACTCATTCAAGATCTACTGAGAAAATCACCAAGACTGGTGCTCCATAAGGTTTGTCTCCCATATAGGGCAACCGCCTTTTCTGATGCTCAGACCCCGGGATTGATTTTTTTTTGTTTTTTGGTTCTTATTAACATTTCTTAATAGAACTTTAACCCAACAAATACCCTGGAAGGTCATGTCCATTTTGCAAATTTTTTTCTACAGTCGGTCGCTGTTGTTGAGTGGTTAGAGGTATGCTTAATATTAAGTTCAGACAGGAATCGAGTTGAGTCAATTAACATTTTAATTGAGCTACCGCTTTTTGGTGTTCACACACCGTTCGTTTCACAGTATCTTTATTTTACAGTACAGTATTTTTTAAACAGGTTTTCAATAAAATAAAGGAATTCCTGTCTTCCTGTTTTACACCCAGCGACAAACTGATACGATCTTTCCGATACGATTTTGGCAATATGAATCCAAATTTCTATCTTAGTACAAAAACTGTGTTCTATGGAGCTACTGGTAATCGGTACAGTTATTAAATTTTTACACAACATAGAAGACCAGGTAGAGGTCATTTCTGCATACTTAATTCGATTTGGTATTATTGCAGATTATGACACTATTGAAGTAAATGAGCGATATATAAGTTTCTTTTGAGTAAAAATTAAATTATTGCAGGAAAACAAACTAAAGTATAAAAACTGTAAACTTTTGCCCAAGCCCTGAGGTTTTTGTGGCAAATCCATACCACTGATTGTTCAGATATATGTTTTTGCTATATAACTTATTTATATAGGCAGCTAAAGCCATACAATTCTATGACCAGTTTACTTTTCGATCATACAGGGCCTATTGAGGACCACTGATTGTTCAGTTAAGATTTTTTGTTATATAACTTCTCAATCTTAGTTGTTAAGGTGCAAAAGCTTTTTCCTCTATTTGCTTATCATAAATAAAAAATAAAATGTTGAAGTTCAATTTTCTGCTGCTCATGAAGGGTAATGAAGCCTTCGCCATGACGTCTTCGGCATAGCCGAAGTCAGGGCTGCCCTTACTTACTTTTTCCTATTCAAAATGCGAAGTGAAATTTT